CAGCATGAAGAGATGGGACACACTGAGAGATTAGCTGTAGAGATTATTCTGTCTTTGTAAGGCCAGAGATGTCATCCGGACGTGAGGAGGTAAATTGATCTCTTGGTTCATTTTGATTTTGGTCTTTCTTGTGACATGACTAACAAAGACGCCCGGCTGGCAGAATCTTTGCAATATGAGCCTTCTTGGTTAGCTATTGGGATAGCATCATCAACTGCATTCAAATCAAGATGATGCTATTAGATGGCAACGTTTTGTAGTTGCCCTTTAAGAAAGTAAAATCCTGAACTAGTAATGTGGAGATCTCTTCTGATCTCTTCTGTCACTAAAACCTACACTATCTGCAATACAGGTGTACCAATTTGAGCTAGTGGTCTACCTGCCATTAAAAACAATGAATAAATTATTTTCTCATCCATATATCAGTGGAGATAAGGGCAGTGTTCTTGATATCTGTCATATAATGACTCCCTGTACTCCAGAAACTAATTCTGCATTGGCTACAAAAATAATCACTCTTGCTCAGATGGACCCACCTGCACTGCAGGTACATTCATGCAGACAAATTCCACCTTTGTGTTCTCCAGCTTTGAATACCTATATTGAGGCACTTGGGTCATAAATTTAGGAAAAAATGAGATTTTGTTGTTTAATTACACTATGGCTTACACTGTGACCTCTGTGCAACAGAGGAGCAAGTGTTAATGATACATCTTACATTTAAAGAGTGAGTCAATCTTCATGATGCTTTGACCATCTTATCTCCAGTATGGCATATTTAAAATATAGCTTTTCAGGGGAATTGTCATAATAGATGAAAAAGAATCCCAAATTCCAAACTAACAACAAAAGAGAACAAAGGCAGATCTCTCTCCCCATTTTCCCAGCTCCTCTTCAATTTAATAACACTTCAAACTTATCCCTTTAATAAAGAACTTCTATAACCATATATCAGAACTTAGGATTCTTGAGCCTCTGAACATCAACTTCATGGTGAACTAGGTTATCTAAATCCTTGCTCTTTTCTGTTGAAAAAGATGAGTACAATTTGGTTTGGGAAATGAGGTTATATATAGTCACACAAACCTATCTTTTGCTTTTTTTATTATTTACTTCATATAATTCCTTGTTGCCCTGACTGCCCTCACAGTGTTTGGAATATTGGAGATAATGGGACTACATAATGACTGAAATCCACATGAATGCCCAAATGTCTCACTGAACTCAATCCTTAGCTCTATGTCTAGTCTAATACTCGGAAGCCCCTCCTTTGCTCCCATGGAAACACTGAAATGTCTCACATTTAGAAAATATTATGGTGCCTATTTAATAACGTTTTCTTCTTCTCTGGAAGAGAATTACTCAGATTAATTGTGTAGGAAATCAGTCTGATGATTGGATTTCCTTATTTTTGTGATATCATCCAACAATACTGTGAATTGTTATCTGTGGTTTCCTCTGAAGTGACCAACACCTACAGTATTTCAGAGGATGCCTTTGTCCGTATCTACCCCAGTTTGAAGATGTCTTACTGCATAACTCTGCCTGCTTTACAGTGAACCAGAAAAGAGAATTTACTATACAATTTTTTGTTACTTTTGCTGCTATTTTGTACAGTTACTACTCTTATTTAGAGAAACATTTGAGCAGTACCTAAGCAAGTTTCTCCTTTTGATAATAATGCTAAGAAGTTACATGCCTCCTAATCCTTCAGGTTCTTCATCCACTGCTTCTCACTTCCACATCACCTTCAATCAAAAGCTTTCTAAAATAATAGGAAGATTGTTACCTTTTAGTTTGAAGATTTTGTTATGCAGCCTGACTATCACTTCTTTCCAAAAAAAGAGGAATGATATTTAGGCTCCTTCCTTTCTCCTCCCTGAAAACTCTGTCTGTCCATATTTCCCACAGAACAAGTTTGTATTGTAGGGCCAAGAACTTACAAATCACATGTTGAATGCTTTAGCCTGGGGAGATCATTGTCCTTTTTTAGACATAGACTTGCAGACATCTCAGCAGAGATACTTATTAGATTTGTGAAAGCTTCGTATCACTACAGTTCCAGGAGACAAGAGGGTCTTTTTCTAAATATATAAAACATATCTTAAAATTGCAAAATGGAAAACATTTTTATACTTTCAAATAACCCTTGTGCTAAGACATGTTTTATTTGCTCTCTGAGTCACCAGTTCATCTCTCTCCCAATACTCACTGTGGGTTTTTTATTTGATAAGATCCACATTCCTCCCTCCAAAAGAAATTTATACTTTGATTACAACTCTGTCTGCTGCTGCTCCTGTGGTCCCTGTCCCCATTGTTGCTGCAGCCATCCATACCAGGGTCAGGAAAGACTATGGCAGTAGCAATCACACCAGTAGTGGTGGAACAGGCTGGGGCAGTTACTGTGCCAGTCTCTGGTTACCTGCTCCTTGACTTCCACAACAGGCTTTATGCCTGGAGAGCCAAGAAGTTTTCAATGCCAACTTTGTCAGGTTTTGCTACAAAGCTGTAAAAGCTGATGGGACACCTACAGCCTTCATTGCAAGTGCTTTGCTTGAAAAGGAATACTGAACTTGTACATCGTACTTCTTACCCATATGCCCTATAAGAACTTATGAAGAAAGATAAATATCATTACCCTGAACTGAGGATGGATAATTCAGGCATCAGTAAATTAACATGACCAATACTAGATATGCAGCCCCTGTCACTTGGAAGCATAATCCAGAACTAGGCCTAGCACATTTGACCAGGAAAAATAAAATGTTGTAGTCCTAAGCAGAAAAAATACTGCCATGGAAAGAGGACTGTGATCTCAAGAGCATTTTGTCCTGTTGCCCACAGTAGTAGCACAATCAATTTAACAATAGACACTCATGAAACAGTAGTCCTTACTTCTGCAATTGGAGGTCATTAAATCTTAATTCCTACTTATGCAATTGTTAATAGTGTTAGCACCTTACAAAAACCCATAATGAACCACAGCAGCTCAAAACTGTTCTAGGGAATTACTTAATTTGACATGACACGGAAGGAAAGGCACTCTTGCATTTGTTTCATCAGTAAAAGGAAGAAAACACAAGCTAGTGAAGAGATGGGGAATTTGTAGATGTCCTTCCACTGATCCCAACAATTTTTTCTAAAACTTTCCTTGCAGACAAAGTGCTATATCCCGAAGCTTCCCCTCCCACCCACCCCCCGAAAAAAAAATGTTGGAAATGGGAAAAATATTGGAATTGTGCAAAAGATTATTCTCTGATTAGAGGAAAGTTCACCCATACCCAACAACATCTTGTCCACCTGCAACTAAAGAGACTTGCCGGTCTCCTCACCGTACAGCTGAGAAGAGAGCTTTGCACTCCTGATTCTACCTTGCAGTCTCGCTTTTCAGAAATGAAGTAACCCAATGGACTGTGTCAAGAATTCAGCTAAAAATGTCCTTATGGAGACCTAAAGCTAATTTGCATGTAAACTGTTACTCTAAGCAAGTTTATACTAATTCATGGCAAATTACTGAGCAACTGTACCAAAACAGTGCTACAGTGTTAATTAACACCATTCAGGATCCAGGGATTTTGCAGGACTTGTCTGGGAGAGGCAGACCCTTGCTGGCTGGCTCTAATAAAGCTCAGCAGGCACCAGTTGTGATTGTTGTTTGCTTGCTTTTGCATACCTGCATAAACCCTTCTGCATGACTTACATTACTTTCAGCAGTTCCCTGCCTTTTTAAAGACTAGCTGGACCTACTCTTGTGTGAGGGGCTGTTACCTGAACCAGCCAGGACTGCTCCCTGTGGAGCAACTGTGATCTATCCCTGGACTCAGAAACCTGTTCATTTATGTATCCTACAATTCCTTTATCCAAGTAGCAAGTGACACGTTTTCCAGCAAAACCAATTCCTAAAGAAAAACACAGAAAACAATAACTATAGCTCCAACTAGTGCTTAGCACACAAACTCCTGTCTGCCTCCCCAGTCTTTCACAAAGACAACAAACTTCCTCCCATCCTGTACAGAAGGGACTGCACAATTGAAACTCGTGCAGACACTTTTTTAGGAGAGGACACTGTATTTAACTAGTCCTTTCTGTAAGTGGGGAACTCAGTCTAGGAGAAATCTGTAAGAGTTTCTTCTATGCAATAACTATATCTCAGCACTAGCTCTACTGTAAAATCTGGGTTCACTTCCCAAAGCTGGGTACCTGCCCTGGAACAACCTCCAGCTCTGCAGATCCTTCCCTTCTTCTGCTCTGGTTTCCACATGCATGAGTTGGAAAGGAGCATGCATGAACTTTAGCAAGGTCCTTCAATCTAGGCAATTTGGAACCAGCCATAAGATTTTCTGGAGACAAAAGCTTTGTCTTTGCAGTACTGGGCACACATGAACTTGTGTCTCTTGTGATTTCTCGTAGATTTTGGTCGTGATGTGGTAATACAGAATATTTTTTTTTCTGAGCCAACAATATATTTACCCACAAATTTAAAAAGAAATTAATGAAAAGAAGCTTTCTAGCAACTTATGTTTCATATGTAGAAAAACAAAATCCTTTCCATTTTCTGTATCATCTCCACTTTTGCCACCTAATTATTTTTAAAATGCTGCAATTCTGGTAACACCAGAACAAACAACAGAGTGGAGGCTTATCCATTCAATCATGTTTTACATTAGAAGCTGACTATTTAAAATACAATAAAGTAAAACAAAATAAACTAAAGCAAAAATATCAAAATAACAGCTATAGAAATGCTAAGTTACATGTTTTAACAATACTAGCAGCCTATAGTCAAAAGCTGACTGCACGTTGCTTCTTTGTTCATGTCCTTCATGCACTATGTGTAATAGAAAAACATTTTAGTTTTGTTCACTCCTTAAAGCTTTTCATGGAAACAACTTATTAAAATTAACAAAGAAATTTTACATTTTGCAAAATATGTATTGTATTACCACATACATTTCTGGTCCTGCAAAATCTAGATAAGCAAAAAAACCCCAGAAAGCTTCTGATCAAACAAATATATAGGTTTATTAGAGCATGTTTCCATGTTTTAAACATGCAATGGTTTCACAATTTTTTATTTCCTTCTGTTTCCATTAGTGTGCCCTCATGATAACTCAAAACAGCTGTTAAAAAATATCTCCACAGATGAACAACTGAAAAATATGGGCTGTATCTTCCAGTGCTACAATTATGTGAAAAATTCAGTATTTGCAAAAGATGCCTGAAAACGAAATACTGTTAAACTGTGTTGTCAATTTAATTACAGAAAGCCTCAAGTGTAAGCCTAGATTTTATAACATATTTAGAAGAAACTAAAATTCATAATTTTGAGTCTGTTTGCTTTAATACATACATTGGCCATTAGCTCAGTTTTATTATCAACATCATTCTTCATATGTTTTCTCATTATCTTTTCTGTTTGAATATAAAGCCCAATAGAAAAACAATTCAATTATGCAAACATGAAAATTCTGTTAGTACAGCTAATTGTTTTTTAATAGATTTCATGTACAAAGAAAGTAGTAGCACTAAGAGAAAACTAGGCAAAGGATAATGTACTTAATTTGAAACATTTGCGATTTCAATAACTGTTAATTACCTACTTGCAAAATATATGCAGTACATATAATGTGCACAAGTATACACACACAACACCACTGCATGCATTTTTCGGACTTAAATACAACTTTAGGTTCACAAACCTTCGTCCAGAACTGGTGAGAGCTGTAGTCACATTTGTGTACTAAAGGTGGTCAAAAAGATAGTCGTTAAATATAAGCTATTCCACCATGCTGTCCTCTGGGTTCTAGTGTTTTGAACAACAACAAAACATTAGACCAAATTTCTGTCCTGAAGAACAGAAAATGATAACAAGGAAAGAAGAGAGAAGAGACAAGATTTTCTTTAGTGACTACAAAATTGATTTTTTTTAAAAAAATTTTTTTAGCTATAATATTCCCTATTCTTTGACCGTATGATATGTCTGGAAGCTTCTGGACTGGATAACAGGTTTAATATGATCTTATCCAGCATCTAGCTCTATTAATTTCTGCTGCCATTATTGGGACAGGCATGGGGACTATTCTCAGTGAAAGCCACATGGTGACCCCAATTTTTACTCTCCTCAAGCAATTAGAAAAGCAATCTTGTTACGTTTTAGTGGGAAAAAGAGAAACCTGCTGTTGAGGTTCCTCCTTGCATGCATGTTATGTAGCCAGCTACATGTTCCACTGCTCCAGCAGCAGGAGAACACCTGGATTTCAGGATCCAGAATGCTCAGGAAAATGGAGAAGACAGGTAGTTGTACTTCTCAAAATGATCCTCAAGACTTAAAATCACAGCAAAACTTATCCAAGGAGCTTCAAAATCCAACCTTAAGATAAATTACATACTCCACTGAAAGACTTAACAGGTTTATTTAGCATCTGAATGAACTACAGACTACTTGGCATGCATTGTAGAGAAAACAAGCACACCTTGAAAGCTTCGTAATTAGCAAATGTGTTGTAATTAATTTTTATTGCTCTTTACTGCCAATTTTGAGTGCTATATTGTTGTGATCTGGTAATTAAAAAAAAAAAAAGAAAAGACAAACCAACAACATTGACAATTTTTATATGTTCCCTCCTTAAAACTAAAGATAAGAAGACTTGTAAGTTTGATTCTCAGATTTCTGTCTTGGAATATACTGGTTCTATGGCTCTTACCAAATGCCACACTCTACTGAACTGATGGGGTATTTGCTTGACAACCAAATGTGGCTTGATCCTAGCTTGATCTTAATGAAGAAAAAAAGAGAATATGCAATTCTTACCCATAAAGCAAGTTGTCCTGGTATTCATTATGCATTTTCTTGCTATATTTATTTGTAACAATGCTGAGCTAGTCATAGCTTGTCATACTTATTTATCAATATATTTTTCAAATTAGTCTAAAAAAATGAAGGTAGATGCAACAAGACATACACACGCACAAATATATTGTAGAACTTACATCAACATGAAGGGAAGAAGAAATGTTACCCTAAAAATGCTCACCCACCATACACACACATACATTGACAATACTAAAGGATTTGTCTTTAGTAGGGCTGTTAAATTTCAGTATCTGAGAATTGCTGGATCTTTACAAGATAAAGCAGTATGAGCAACTGAATTCCAACAACTCAGAGTCTGTGTTCTTTATTTGGACAGCCAGGACTTTTTCCCACCTTCTTTCTTTTTGTGTTTAATACTAATCTGTAGTCTTGCTCATATCGTCTTCTTTCCCTTTGGCTTCATCCGACAATCATGAGAAGTTTTATGCATTAACACTACAGAGTGGAGTTACCCCAAAACATGACAACTCTACTATTTTTACTGCTTTAAACAGCAAGCAAACAATACACTTATTATTTTAGAAACAGACAAAAAAATTAAAATAAATTCTATTTAAAAAAATAATTGCTTTATTGTTGCCGTGCCTTCCTTATCAGTTGCCCAAGTTCTAAATACCTTTCAGAAAATAATTTACATGCTGCAGGATAGCTTATTGAGCAAGGCAGCATGTTAGCCTTATAGCCATGTTAGTCATTCCTTGGTACCGTGACCGGTGCCTTTGACAGGCATAAAGTGTCATGCCCTCCTGCCCCGCAGCCTGTCTCATGTTGGAATGGGAATGAAGCTCGTTGATTTAGAGAGGGGCATCTCCCTCCAGGTGTTTAGGCTGTGGGTTGGGCTTCTGTTGTTGGTGAAAGAAGTCTGTCGCCTGCTATTGCTGTTTGAATCTTCTTTACTGAGCGTTTGCTTTATTTTTTGACAGCAAGGGAAGCTCTGTATGCAGTCTTGCAGGAGGTGCCCACTGAAGAACATGTAGATCCATGGGTTACAGCAACTGTTCAGACTGGCCAGCAGAGCCGTAACAGTAGTTGCAGTGTTTTCAGAATCTGGGGAGGGGGGAAGAAAGACATTTAATCATCAAAAGAATTTGCACCATCCAGTCAATTGCTTCATTAACTGTTGGATTCATTTTCCTAAATATTCTAGTTCTAAAAGTTGAGCTGCAGCATTTGAAATGAGTAATGAGAACATAATCAGGAAAGTTCTTATTTATGTAAGGCTGCCATTGAAGTCAATGGGAATTTGTCTGAACAGACTTCAAAAAGCTGTGACAAAATAATTTATGGCATAATCCATCCAAAATATTGCTTTAGTCCCATTTCCATTGATGTGTATCCATGTGTTGATAAGCTCATATTTTAAATATTGAACAGTTTTTATCCAGAACCCTGGGAGACAATGGCAAAATTCCCACTGATTTCCCACTGCTTTCAATAACACTGAATTTTGCTGTATACATCATCACGCTGAAAAGTGCTGAATGCTCAACTGACTACTGGCTTGTTGATCAAACCTGGATTTTGGAGATTAAATGAATTTTACCTAAGGGAAAATCGAAGTTAGCACTATGCCATGAAAATCCTGTTGTCTTCTACCTTCAATAACCAGTTGATAGTTAGATCAAATACTGTAAATATATATTTAGTCTAACCACTTATTAGTGATCTTTCTTTGTAATTATGGAATCTCCAAAGAAGTGTAATTGCTCTTTAAATCTATGTTCCATAAATCTATGTTCCATAGATTTAAAGAATCTTCAAACAAACCTAGCAAATACCATCTATTGAATTAGGTTTCATTTCTTTTGAAGTAAAAAAAAAAATCTATTTGCACACCACAAGCCTTTAGGCTTGACTTTAGTCCCATGCTAGAGGCAATCAATGCTCTCACTACAATAATTAATTATAAGTAATAATTTGGGTATATTAAAAAAATAAAAAACCTATGAATTCCAACATTTTGATTTACTTCTTTCTCATTATGAGGAAAGAGGGTATATGGTGCCTGCCATATAATGCTGCCTGCTCATTACCTATGTAATAGCATTTAAACTCATGAATTATTTTTAGTCATATTTAACAGTGGGACAGGTAACTCCAAAATCTACATTGCCACTGATTCATGCAAACTGGTGACTGACTAAAGGGGCTACTCAGAGGTGGCTGCCCTGCTGAGAGGAAGGGTTCAGGGTGCACTCAACCTCATTATTAGATAGCAGATACAGAAAAGAAGGCTTATAACTGCTCCTGACATATATGTGTATATGCTCCACAGTAACATAAAACGCTTTTTAAGTTTTCATATCGGCAGCTTCAAATGGACGAAAATGTTGCTAGCTCAAGTTATGGCAGCAAATATTTGCCATTTTCCATTCGCTCGCTTTGCTCTGGATGAGAACCCAGCGGCCTCTGCTCCTTTCCGGGGGCCCAGCTGCTCCCGGGACAGGCCGAGCCGAGCGTCGCGGCCGCCGCCGCCCCCGGCGCCGCCAGGTCCGCGAGTACGAGAGGTGCCGGCGGGGCGGCCCCGACGGCAGTCTCACCTGCCCGCACAAGGGCGTTCAGCCGCTATTCCCCGGTGGGAGAGGGGCCCGTTTGGCCGGGCGGCGCCGAGAGAGCGCGCCCCGGTCCCTCTCTCCGCTTCGCGCCCCGTCTCTCCCACGCTCGGCTCAGGAATGTGCAGCGCCCGGGACAGCCGGCTGCACCCCCGGGGGACCCCAACGCGTGCGGGGCGGCTGGTGGGGGAACTGAAGGCGTCACCTACCGACCCAGGGGAATCGCTGGTCCCAGACGGACCACATCTGGATGGTGAAGAAGGGCGCCCAGCAGACAACGTACACCGACACGATAACGAAGGTCATCTTGACGGTGCGGATCTTGGCGCGGGAGATGGTCTTGACGCTGCTGACACAGGGAGCGAGCAGCAGCCCCCGCCGCGGGCCGCCGCTACCCGCCCGCCGCCCGCCACCCGCTGCCACCGCCGCCGCCTCCTCCCCCGACGCCACCGCCTCCCCCGGGCGCGTCTTCCCCCGGACGTTGCGCCAGATGCGGTAGCAGATGAAGCCGTAGCAGGTGATGAGTATGAGGACGGGCGCGACGAAGATGCCGCCGGTGATCCAGGTGATGTAGGCGCGGGGCCCCCAGGGCATGATGAAGTGCGCCCAGCAGTCGTAGACCTGCGAGCCGCGCTCCACCTCGCTGAGGGAGAAGATGAAGTACTGCGGGGTGCTGAGCAGCAGACTGAGCGCCCAGGCCGCCGCGATCATCCCGTACGAGCGCTTGGTGGGCTGCTGCAGCGTCTTCAGCGGATGGCAGACGGCGATGTAGCGGTCGGCGGTCATGGCCACCAGCATGTACGCCGAGGCGAACATGCCGAAGACCTGCAGGTGCTTGACGACGCGGCAGAGTCCGTCGGAGCCGTGGAAGCGGTGTGTCACCTCCCAGCAGAGCTGGGGCAGCACCTGGAAGAAGGCCACCACCAGGTCGGCGAGGCTGAGGTGGCGGATGAAGAGGTGCATGCGAGACGCCTTGCGCGGCGTGCGCCGCAGGGCCAGCAGCACGCTGCCGTTCCCCACCACCGCCACCGCGAAGGTGACGGCCAGCACCGCGATCTCCAGCTTCGCCAGCTCCTCGTCCCGCCCGAAGGGGTCCCAGCCGCCCAGGCTGCCGTTGGGAGACCCCGACCACGCCTCGGGGCTGGGGCTGCCGCCGCCGCCGCCCGGCTCTGTCGCCCGCCACTGGCTGCCGTTCCCGGGCGAGGGCGCGGCCCGAGGGGAGCCGGCGCCGCCGGCCAGGCGCATGGAGAGGGCTACGCGGAGGGGCCCGGCTCGACCCCCGCACGTCCGCTCGTCCGCCGCCGCCGCCTCCCCGCTCCGGTAGCGCGGAGCACCGGGCCAGGTGCCTTTATCCTCCCGCCGCGGGAGGCGAGGCGGGGGGAGCTCCCGTGCCAGTGGCTGCCCAGCGCCTGAGGCCAGCCCTCTCCTTCCTCCCGCTGCCGCCACCGTCCGCTCCGCGCCCCCCCCCACCCCCCCGTCCGCCCCTCCGAGCAGGGAGGCTGGTCTCGCCGCGGGACCGGGGCCGCTCCGCCCAGAAGGCTGCGCTGGGGGGAGCGGGGTCCGACACCCTTTCCCGGCCCTCGCGGAGCCCGGCGGGGCGGAGCAGCGAGAAGGGCTGCTCGAGCCGGAACGGTGCGCCCGGAGAGCTCCCCTACGGCCAAGTAAAGCAGCACTTAGAAGTTTGATTGAGAATAAAACTGTTACCGTAACCGTTTAGAGTAGATGGAGGTCTGTCAGCATCAGTCTTCACACCCCGATCCAGCTTCCAGCCAAGGCATAGTGGCTTGTCGGTGAGAAGCGCTGGTTTGGCTCTGAGAGAGATTCCATCTGGGCCTTTGGCATTTCCCAGTCATGCTCGGATCAACCCCAGAGAAGCATATGATTGGAAAAAATAGTACAGAGTTTTAAAGCAACCTAATGTTTCTGAAGGTTTCAGGACTTCACGTAGGACAATAAATGTTATCCAGACCTTGGCATACAGGTGTAAACCACACATTTCTGCAAGTACAATCAAAATCTCCACATGTGCTAGAGTTTCTGGCAGTGAGTCCTTTAAATCCCACTTTTAAACATGTTTTAGCTGAGGAGTTTTCCTGCTCTTGATAGAGTGAATGAACTTGGTGCAAATTCTGGTCCCATTGTCATGAGTGTGGTTTTACACCCTGATTTTATCAGAATCTGAATTTGATCCTTCATTTAGAAACTCCATCCTTCTGTCACACAAAAATTTATAAGATCACAACAAAGATATATTATGTTAGGTGCCAGCCCTACTTTGGTTTTAATCAAACTGTCTGAGTTTGCTCATATGTAATTGCAGTTAAATTTAGTTATAAAAAATGTGGGTTTACAGAGAGAAGAAACAATGAGGAAAAATGAAAGATTAAATCTTACTTCTTTGATTAAAAATGTTTCTAAAAATTTTGACTCCAGAATAGTATCAAAGTTTAAAATAGAAGAAGATTATATGCTTCTGAACATGCTAGCATTGTGCAAGGCTTTACTCCAGGCTTTTTATCACTTTCTGGGCTTGTTCACGTGTGAGAAGGTGTGTGCACCCACCCCAGTCTATCGCTGGAATAGTGATCCTTCCTTCACTTGCGGATTAATGGCAGGAACCTAGGAGTACACCTGTTCCTACAGTGCAAAGAGCTTTTCCATAAAAAGCTGCAAGAAAACCCGAAAACCTGGAAATACAGACAGTAAATGTAGTTGTCCTAAGTTTCTAGTAAACTTATTTTTTTAAACTTGACTTTGTTCCAAAGCTTGATTTTTGTGAATGGTTCAGTGCGTTATTTACAGCTTAGTGACTATTTCATTGTGTTAGACCTAGGAACTGTGCACCACACGACACATCAGCATGTTTCGGGTCAAACAGAGAGGGAAATTAAAGCTACGTATCACAAATCTCACAATACTGCACCACTACCAAGGCTTCTTTCACATTCCTTGCCCGTTTCTCTGACACACTTTTACAGGAGTTGAATACTATGTAAATGAATGGTGTCACTCAGGAAACCCTGCTAACAGGTTTTCTGCTGTGCAAACCGTGTGAGGATTATAAAGCTCTCTTCGCTTCTGGGTATGTCATCCATTAACAGAAGAGATGAAACTTCAGGGTTGACGAAGACATATTTTTAACAGCCAGACAATAAGATAAGAGTGGTTGTTCAGAATACTGAGAGTTTGTCAAGCCCATATCATCTCAGAAATATTCCTATCCAATCCATACTCTGTTCCTCAGAATAGCATTTATAAGATGTTTCCAGAGCAAAGGGCTGGAAACTCACCTCAGTATTATTGCACAAGGCTTTACCTAGAAATTACTCACAATATTAAGCATGACATTGATAATAATTTTTGATGGGTTGTATTCTATCAGAAAAAAAGTAATCTAGGGCTAGTCTTTGTGCCTTTTTTTGTTCCATTCTCAAAATTAGTCAATATTGATGTTTTTCTAGATAATATATCTAACCAGGTTGTTGTAAATTTTTTTGTTTCAACAAAACTAAATAATTCAGTAGAGTTTTATTTATACCTAGTAGTTAAAAAATGTCCTCCTGCTCTAGATGTTAAGCAAATTATGGACTCTTAAGGTTTCTATACCAGTTTAATCAGCAACTAGTCTGATCTTGTTTGCTTAATTCTAACAGTATTGGTGTTCTTCAAATTAATCAGTATAATTTTTAGTTTTTCAAGTAGGTGTCCTTGTCGAGCTGAATGAGAAATGTTCGCCTATCTGACCAGAGTGACCAGACATGGAGAGGGTTCCTCTGCCTGCCGAAATCTGTAACATGGAGATCAACACGGGGGAAAAATTGCAGAATTCCTTTCCAAAGAGAAAAATTGCCACTGGGAAGGCTGCTAGATGAAATGCACATCTTTGCCCTGTGCCTCACTTGGAGCTCAGCTTGGAGATGGAGGCTCTCAGTAAAGAAAATTGAGATTGCTGTTACAAGAAATCTTTATTTGTTCTCACTAGGCACACAGCTTTCTGTAAAAGTGTCTGAGAATGGCAAGGGTTTCTGGTATATTCTCTGATGCCATATGGGTGCTTAAAGGTTGCCAGATATCTTTGTGAATGTTGAATTCATTGAAGACTGAATGGCTTCTGTCGAGTACTCAAAAACTTAACTGAAACATGATCCAATGTGTTGCCAAATGCAGCTGTTTTTTGTTCATCCCTTGCTGTTGTGGTGGTGACTTAAGCTGCAGTCTTAGCCTCTTCTTCCATGGCAAAAGAAATGCTCTGAGCAAGTCAAAGGCTCAGAATTTTAATACTGGAAAATTGATGATGATTTGTTTTCTGCAAGATAACCTCAACAAAAAAAGTAGGGGTCTTTCTGCATAATCTTAGGGAAAACTGACAGTTTTGAATTGTAGCTACTGGTAGTCAAACCATGATTGTCTGCCAGGTTTTGTGAAGAGTTGCTCTAGTCACTAGAGTTGCAGAAAAGCAATATAAGCAAAAAAAAAGTCAAGCTTTTTAATCAAATAAATCCCTTATGCAGGAAAAGGGTTAAAGCATGGCTAAAAAAACGAGGCCTGTTTATTTGTAGAGGATTCAGCTGCCTTGTTAAAAAGCACATAAACCATCTACATAGATACAAACAGCTGTCTCCTGGGATCTGTCTCCAAGTTCAAAGTATCTGCACTGCTCCCTTTGACCAACACTGTTTAGTAAGGGTGAGTTTGATAGCTTTTCCCAGAGAGCCACAAGACTTAGGTGCTGCAGATCCCAACCTTCAAATTCAGAGCTGTGGGAACCAAGCATGGGAAAAAAGCCCATGTGCTGAGTGAGGGACTGCTAGAAGCTGGGGTCACCAGGGAAGCAAGCAGATGCCCCATCCATTCGCCATCCCTGGGAAGGAAATGTTACCTGAAGGCAGTCAGGAGAACATCTGGGACACAAAGCAGCTTCCTGAAAAAAATGCCTCATTTACAACCTCTATTGGTCTAGCTTTTTGGCTACTGAAACAGAACTAAATGGAGAATTGCCCCAAACTGCCTTCAAAGCAGTTTGCAAGTCTGAATTCAGGGTTCCGGAAAGGCTGTAGTACAAGACCAAGAAATGAGTAAGACTGAGGGCAAACTCCTACTCTACAAAACACGGAATTAGCAAATGATCCATAAGAGACAGGAATTGAAGATTAGCCCTCAGGACTCAGTTTGCAAAAGCCCAGTTCATTGTCTGGAAATGTCTAAAAGTGGCCAGGAAACAAAAAGTTTTAATGTTATGCCCCAAGTTTTCCTTTGCTTGTTAAACTGAAAGTACATCCAGATTCTGGTATTTGTATACACAGGAAATTGTGTCTGACCACCCCTGTTATACTGTGTTTCTTTTTATGATGGCATGTCATGGTTTAACCACAGTCAGCAGCTGAGCACCACCAGCTGCTTGCTCAGTCCTCCCTGGTGGGATGGGGAGAGAATTGGAAGGGTAAAAGTGAGAAAACTTATAGGTTGAGATAAGAAGAGTTTAATAGGTAAAGCAAAAGCCTTGCACGCAAGCAAAGCAAAACAAGGAATTCATTCACCACTTTCCATGGGCAGGCAGGTTTTCAGCCATCTCCAGGAAAGCAGCGCTTCATCACACATAACAGTGACTTGGGACCATCACTCTGAACATCCCCCCCTTCTTCCCTCTTCCCCAGGCTTTATATGCTGAGCATGACACCACATGGTATGGGGTCAGCTGTCCCAGCTGTGTCCTTTCCCAGCTTCTTATGCATCCCTAATCCATTTACTGTTGGTGTTGTGAAAAGCATATAAGGCCTTGACTTCGTGTAAGCACTGCTCAGCAGTGAAAAAACATTTCCATTTGCTGAACCTGGTTTTCAGCACAAATCCAAAATATAGCCACATACAAGCTACTATGGAGAAAATTAACTCTATCCCAGCCAAACCAGCACATGGAGATTGACTGAAGTGTTCAGGTAGTACTGCAGAGCAGCCTGTGCAGCTAAATGTCACCAGAAGAGGCAGCATGTTGCCCTTTTCCTTTTCCCTCCTTCCCTGCATCCTTGCTGACCTGGCTTGACAGCAGTCAGGGCCTTCAGGATTCAGAGTTTTCAACCATTGCCCTGAAAAAAAGTTAACACAGCAGCTTTCCAACCTGTCTGGATTTCAAGGCAGTGAAGGAGATGGGCATTTGAAGGGATGATCAGCCTTTCCATGTTTATAACATTGTGGAAGGAACATTAAAAATAAAACATGGGGAAAGCTCCTGCCTTCCCCATTGCACCACATTACTGAGACTTCCATCATGTCCAAGGCACAATAAAAATCTGTCTGAGACAGTTTAACTAGAGCTTCAGCCAGCAAATATCTCATTAAATCTGAAGTATTAAAATCATCAGGGCATAAATCCACAGATTCATTCAATGCTGTCATTAGTAGAATAAG